CGATATCAAATTTTCTGCCTCATCAGACAACCGTGTACAACAACACTATAGCAAACATAACGCGCTTGACTGCTATGTCGGAAAATTTCTTTTGCACTTCTTCCTGCTTTTTCTGGAATACCCCAGATACTTTCAAAAGCCCCAAAATTGCGAGACACTTAGAACATAACAGGACCTACTCACAACATGACTGATGTCGCAAATGTGCAAATACCCAACAATCGACACCAGTTTGTAAGCACATTCAGATTTTCAATGTTTCTGTAATTTTATCTCTGTACTGACGCTTTTTCTCTTGAACAATTTTTTTAGAATGTATTTTGGCACGGTCTCCTACATGGAGACAGCGTGTCTTTAGCTTTTCAAAAACGAGTGGTGAAAAAGTTTACGGACACTTGAGAATAGTTTTTTGCGTTTTTTGAAGACGTTTTCTTCGTTAGGATGCCGGCTATTGCTAAGTTGGCGTAACTGACAATTGAGCCACTTAGATAAATATGTGTATATATGTTTGCGTCATCCCATCATATTTGCTAAACACTAATGACTATGCCCTGTGAATACACATCGTCCAGTCTTTTGCCCGTCACTTGGAATAATGGCAGCTTTACGAAAATGGAAACAAAACGACTTTCAACCACAAAATAGGTAATTTGTGTACGGACCGCTGAGGCGACGGTATGGATGAATAAACCTTTTGACTCTGCTCACATGTCCCAAACAAGAGATATTCCAGAAGCCTTTAGAATTTTGAAAAATAAAAATAAAAAATGTAATAAAAGTTATCCGACTGCCCAAAACAATGTGCCTGTATTCTTCCCTTCTTCGAGCACGGAAGTTATTCAATGCTCTGCACTTAGCCCGCTAATAGCTGTTTTTGTATGTTAGAACCTACGTAGCTCGCCACTGTTCGCGCTCTTTTCCGTGCCTTGCACAGACAACAGCCTTAGCTCTGGTTTTCTTCGGTGTGTGATTTTACGTATAAGATGGAGGGATTTCTTAATCTTGTTCGAAAGTTCGTGGCATTTTTGGACCTATCCTAAAATCGTTCAAAATAAAGATAAACAAACGATCCAAATAGTGTTGAATGCAATTTTTTTCTTTTTCCTAGCAGTAATGTTGTGATCCAAGATCTTTATTGGCCAGTCGAATAATCGTCAATATTTTTTTATTTAATACATTACTATAGTGTAATGTGCTAGATAGTATAATCGCTATATAATATTCTTCCCATGATTTTACCTACACTCGATTTTTCTAACTTCTGCTTTGGTCACGATGAAGTAAACAAAATGCAAAACAATGCATTTTTTCATTTATAGCTGAATTTTCTAAATTCTCAATGTGATTTTTTGATGCTACTAAATTCCATTTGCTGATCCCAAACCACGTAGAACATCACGTAGCGAGTGACTAAGGTGTCCTTCGATACATATTGTTGTCCTCTTTCTAAAAAATGTTATTTTCATCTTAATTCATGAGGGTTTCGATGAAATTACCGTAGTTCCAGTTTTTAAGCGCACTCCGAGCTGCAACGGGAAAGCTCCAAATTCAGCATTCCAAAGCATTAAAAACTCATTTGCTTTGTTAAACTAGTTGCCGTCATAGGTGACTTTTGGAAGTTTCAAATTTCGAAGGTTCCTTAGTGTTTGAAGCGTTTGTGTATTTCACACAAAAATGAAGACTTTTGAGAAAATCCTTTTGGTTATATTTGCAAGCCAGTCGAAGAAGCCTAAAAAATCCAACACCTCGCATTTTGTTTACTCTACCTAACAGTGATCAAAGCCCTTCCAAAATTCAGAAATGAAAATTCTAAAACTAGCTAAAGTAAGGTAGGTAATCATGGGTTGGAGATTCTGACAATTATTCGGCCATCAAAAGAATCGGAACGGGACAAAACTGCTGAAAAGAGGAAGAGACTATGCACCGAAAGCTGTTTTGAGCGTTTGTCTATCTTTATTTTGATTTTAGTTAGGTCCAAATACGGCACCTACTTTCGTACCGGAGTAATATACACCGTCTACCGGACACCTACCAATGCAGCTAAGAATGTTCTCTTCATTCTATAGGGCTTTTTTCTTCATTTCTTTACGAAAAAACTTATGTGAATCAAAGTCAAGGCCACATCTGTATGTTTGTTCAACCATTGCAACTATCATTCTTTAATTAGTAAGTTGTCTCGATTTTAGTAAATCGTGAACTGAACATTACTTTCGACGACTATCAACACCTCTATCCTCTATGAGAGGTATCGCGGATGATTGTAGGAACAATTTGTTAGAAATTTAGTACGCTTATTCTTTTCAAAGAATTCTCAATAGGCCCCGCATTCCTAACAATGAGAGGTATGTCTTATTGAGAAACTTTTTAAAAGTTTTGTATCTGGGTGAGCAGCCTAGTCATGATGTCTCCAGAGGGGAACTGACTTTATTATACAGCAGCTTTGTGTTTGTAAAATTTAATGCTCCTTCGTAGTTCTTAGGTCAATCAGCCTAATGCAAATGGACAAGAACATGAATCGGATTGTGAAGAAGTTTACGACTTCCACATGGACCGCTCATGTTCTGCAACGATGACGATTTGTTAATAGACATCGACTCTTCCTCATGTGACAGCAAGCTGGGTACCTTTGCTTGAATACACTTCAATGCCAAGCGCTCATTTTCGACAACCGAAGTCACTTCGGTCAAGAAGTTCGTTTCTCTCCTTCAGTCAGTATGTTATCTCTAGCAAAAAGATTTGAAACGAAGCTCGACTCTTGGTCGCTGTCTCACAGCTTGATTCAATTATCTATTTTGATAAAGAACTCTTGTGAGAGGAGGTATGTTTACGACAACTCTATTTCTGCCCCTTTAGCGGCTCATATTAGGTTGGCTGATAAATAAGTTCGGTTTGACATACAAATTCGAAATTCCAAAATAATAATAATAAAAAATAATTCGAATAGCAGCTATTTAGCTGAAATTTTTTTGCGAGGAGGTATCCGCGAAACTTTACTCTCAAGTATCAAGTGAGTCAAAATTTTTCGTGAAACCTTTGGCTACATAGTGAACTACAACGGAGATATGTAGTGAATTGCTGTTTGTGAATTTCTGCAGCCAAAAATGTGATAATTTCTAAGCATTTGCGCGTGGAAGTCAGTTTTTGGGCAATCAAGATTGCTTGAACTTGACTATTCATGGTCGTGCAAATTGTTGGAAATCTCAAAATCTCTTGTTATGTGTAAGTCAGTTGTGCATTTTACAGCCAACTTCAATTTATTTTTCGGAGCAAACGTGATTGCTCGAAAATTCGGTAAAAAAATCTGACTATCTCACTTTCGGCACGATTTCGTTGTCAAAATGATGATTGGCGCTCTAAAAAGGAGTTGACCATCCGATTCTCCTTGATCTGCTCTTTCCAATGATACACACATTCTTACAAAATCAATTTGTAAATTTTCTACAAACCGTTAAGAAAGAGCGAACTTATTTTTTAGCCAATCTTATACATAGTTTACAGTGTTCGCCACCACCTTTCCAGCGCTCGAGCTATCTATTCTTATGACATCATAGAAAATCTGGAAAGTGCTCCATAAGCTTCCGCCTTATTTTCATTGATCGCAGTCAAAAATTCATAGCCATTTTATGAATCCAGAGACATCTGTGCGCAATTTTCATGTTGTTGGCGATTAAGAAAAAGAGTATTTAGTGTAAAACAGGCGCTTCACGCGTGAGAAAATTAGATCGTCGCAAAAGTTCTGTCCGTTTCCTTGATCGGTACACTGCATAGGTATCATTCAATCAAGCTTTTAAACTTTTAAAAACGTATCTTTAGCATATATGTGCTTTTTGCGAAGTTACCGCTTAGTTTTTCATCAATCTTACACCCCTTTCGCCATATTTTATTTTTTGGGTTTTTGGATCATTTAGATCGACTTTGAAGTTTTTAAAAAAGTTACATGAGGAAAACCTCAACTTTTTGGGATACTAGTCGCGGCCATCAGAAAAAATTCAAACCTAGCTATTCAAAGCGATGTATGGCAGCAATCAAGCTTCATTGCGAAAAGTCTGGAAGCTTCTTTGTTGCAATCATATGTTTTTTAATTTTGTTCGAGTAATTTGAGAAATCGAGATTCCAAAGAGATACCAATTCCGCATAACTCCAGAGATCAGATTTGAAAAGCAGTAGCATCTCTGACATCTAATTTCTTGCCAAATTCTAAAACAAGTCTGATTATTATTGAAATCTCGAGGAGATAAAAACGATCGATTAACTTTAGCAGCTATCTCGAAAAATGTGAAAATATCTGCTCGCGATTATAAAAGTTAGAACAAATGAAAAAGCTGCATAAACGCTTGTTCAAGTGCTCAGTCCTTACCATCCAGATTTTATAATCCTTCAAAAAGACCAAAATTTTGGGACAGCTTAACTGCACCAAGACATCGCCTTCATGCTAACCACCCTCTTTTTTTATGCTTCTGCCATGATTTCAAAGTTTTTTCTGTTGTTGCCATATCTTTCTGGTAAGGAATACAAGAGTTGGAAAAAGATGAAAAGCTGCTTTGGGTCATAAATTTAAGTCTGCGAGCGCCCTTATTTACATCATGAATAAGAATTAATTCTGAACAGCCGCTTTCAGCAGAGCTTCCCTATTGTGAAGTTTTGAAGAATATCCATGTTGTAGTGTAGAATGGATGATACCAGCAGAATTACGGCATCACTGAAAAACCTTGGTTACTCAAAGTCTTTTTCGTTATCTAAGTTACTCCTTCAAGCAGAACATTTACAGACTCTAGCATTCAAACTTAGATCAATTCTTGTCGAAGTGTGTACAAATGTTAATGTACGATTGTCAAGATTTTCGAAAGCCTCTGCTATTTTCCCAATTTTGTAACTAGAATTACTCATCTAGCACTATCATTCTGATATGCCGTCCATGTTCATTGTCGCAGTCATGAAATGCTCTTCGTCCTATTTTTCCGATAAAGCACGCTTTTTAAGTGGACAATAGCTAATTCCGGATGATTTTCATCAATACTCGTCCACTCGATGAAGCCATAAATGAAGATCGCCGTCCAAGCAAGGCTCCTTCTCACCAGTCTGTTCATCCCGAACCGAGGAAAATACATATGAACGTAGGTTGCAGCTCATAATCTCGATGTGTTGCAATGAAAAGGCTCTACTAGAAGAAGAGAGAGCTGTAAGAAAGAGGAAGAAAGGTTGTGGGAAATTTTCTGGAAGATTACAATCAAAAGCCGGGTGCGCTCGTTACGAGCGGGCTGCCAAATGGAAAACGTCGCAACGCGGCGTTACAGTAACCGCGCGCGGAGAGCAGCAGAGCAGAAAACTTGGCAGATCTATAACACCAGATTACCAATGCTTCTTCTATACTGCTATTTTTTTACCTTCTTCAATTTGTGTCTTTTTTGTCCCTTAAAGACATTTTACAAATTTTGTGACAGAACTTCACATAATTAAGTAACTGATATTATAATAGTCTGGGAACCTCAACAAAGGGTGAGAAACTGAAAAACTATCTGCTGTGGATCATGCTGGTTGAAATCCCCGAGTGCAACCACTAGCAGCCTGTCGCGCGACGTTTACCAATTGGCAGCGCGCACGTAACGATACGCCCCGCAAAAGCCTATGGTCTTTTTCCTACCTTGAACCACTTTTAACAACCAGCTCTCAAATAAGTAAAAACATTGATATTCAATTGATATATACTATTTAAAAAAAACACAAAATTCCACAAAATATAGGCCCAAACGTGCACACTGCAAAGGTCGTTGTTACCTTCTTGGCCTGAAGCCTTTTTGTAGCTCTTATGGTAGCATTGTGCAAGCTGGTCTCAACCAGGATTTGCAGTACGAAGCAAATGACTTTCCTCTACTGTAGGATTAAGGTAGAAGTTTTCAGCATACCGAGCCATAGTGAAGGCACTTAAAAAAATTTATGAAATCTGAAAAATTGTGCAGCGTTTTCACACAACTCAAAGTGAGCTGTTTTGATGTAATCATCACATTTCTGAGGAGCACTGGAAAAACATTGTTACGATCACCGTAGTGTGGTCATCTCCGCTTCAGAATGGGCAAATTCTTAATACGAGGGCGGTATACAAAAGTGCTTGCTTGGACACAGTACGAGGTCAGATTCCACGAATGGTTTCAGATTTTTGCTTACTATAGGTTATTCGGTGTGCTTTTTCGTTGCACTCACTGGGCAACCTACCGTGAGCAAAAGTCTGAAATCGTGATATCTGGCCTTCTATGGCGTCCAAACGGGCACTTCCATATATCGGAGGAGCGCCGCTCCAAGCTGAGTCGAATGGTGCCCTTGAATCAAGAATTCGTCCGCTCTGATGCGAAATATGGCTATTTTACGGTGGTGCCATATGAATAAGGCGATGTGTGCGGGTTTTCAAAGATTGTGAAGTTAGGTATCCTGGACCTTTGCAAGATATAAACAGTGAAAACACTTGTTTCTATCCGATTAATCATAGAAATAGCGGAATACTTGCACATGAGACTGCAAATTCTCAAAGCAATCGCTTTCAAATTCAGCGACGCAGTCAGCGCAGAGTAAGCATAATTTTGATGCGTGTAGGGTTTGAAACACAAAGAGCTTTCTTGATTTTTTTATTTAGCAACCTTTGTTTTCAGAGAATAGCGCTATGTCTTCTCACATTCTACATTCTCGTCAGCATCATTCCTGTGCTTCTACACTATCCACTATCACTCATTTCACTCATAGTTCCATGCATTCTGTTCATCTATGCTGTGTGTACCCTCCGCTCAGAGAGCAGGTCAAACCAATGGCCTTGTTGCCTAGTGGCTGTAAGTGTGCTTTGCTCTTCTTCCCCCTTCTAGAAATAATAATTATTATTTTAGATCATTGGTATATTAATCAAAATAGCCGCTGTTGTCATTTACATCTCCATTTTCCCTGTCAAAGACACACAAGAACAAGTTCCTCCTATTCCAACCAGGCTGCAAGGTGATTTGATTCATTTGGCTGGTCCCTATCACGTCCTTGGAAAAATCTTTTTAGCTCGAGCGGATGCTTCCATGAATCAGTACCGGCTCATATTCTACGTGGTAGTTTTGGCTCTCGAAATTTTCCTGCTTGTGGTAGGAGGGTGTCTAAAATGGCATTTGAGCGCATTAGAGGGAAGCGATATTAGTGTCCAGAAGCAAGTAAAGGTAAATAACCTGGTTGGAAATGTGTTTAAAAACGATTCTAATTTACTTGCAGAGATCTTCGACAGCAGCAGCATCTAGTCAAGCACTAATTCCAGGAAATCCCAGTGCTCGGCAAAGTCTGGCTTGAAAAAAACTTTTCAAAACAGATGCAGTGCTCGATGTTTATATATCACATATTTCCCTTCGCTATCATTCATGGCTAGTTCATCAAAATCTGATGCATTTAGGATGTTTCTTGTTCTGTACAAATGACCTTATTTTCGTACAATTATTATTTTATACGCTAAGGCATGTGCGAATCGTACAAAATCTGGATGCGTAGTATTCATATTCCAAAGCGTGAAGATGAGAAATAATCCGAAATTTCCGAAATATCTGAGAGCTAAAACGACCTGGTCATAACAATCTTTGGTTTAGCTAATCACCAGTGTTTATTGCGCATTTGCGTTCATATTTTAGGAATTCTTTCTAGGTTAGATGAAGACGCACATGAAATGTTTTTTCCAACCTGCTTGTTCTTCACGCAGTCAACTGTTATTAGCCAGCTATTCCTCTAAGTTTGATCTTTATTGTTTTCGAGCAAATCTTATGCATGAAATAGATCTCATTTTCCTGCCGGTGCAAACCGAGACTTTACTACAAATATAATTTTGTACGCTATTCCGTTACTTATACTTTCAATGTGACAAAATCCACTGTACCATAAAGCTTCCAACTCTATGTACATTTTAAGCTAAATGTACCGACATAGAAATAACATAAATTTATTCTGCTTTGCGTCCATGAATCATCCCATGAACGAATGATACCAGTCGCATCAAAGATTTGAGAAGAATCCGCATTGCCAGGTGGAAGTGAACTCTTATTTCCCATCCAATTTCTAGAAAGCTTGTATTTATTTGCTTATTTTTGACGCACCCATGGCAGAACAAGAAGTGAAGACATGGAACCAATAGATATCACGCAGCCGCTATAATATCGAGAGATATTATTAAGTGGAGCTGATAAGCTAAGTCTAAGGTTTTTCTTAATCGAAGCCAAACAACGAGTAGTCGGCTGAGAAATCTCGCAAGAAGCTCGTAGTATTGAGTTTACTCTGTAGCTCAATAGGTGAATTTCTTCAAAGTTTAAATACTTCCAAAATTAGCTCTAATGTAGCAGAATGTAGAAACCGGCCTCAATTCTGAATCAAATGCATGACAATACAGTAAGCTTATTTGTGGTTCTTTGCTAAATGTAACATATAAATTATTTTTGCAAATAGACCAAAGAATCTGATATCAGTTTGGAAAAGAAAACATCGCAAGACTTCTTCTCTCTACCAATTCAAGTAAATTAAAATGGCAAAGACTTATAAATAAGGTTGAGTGTCACGAAAGCGTTAGTGACACTCAACCTTATTTGAGCCTCTCCTTTGTATTGAACTTTATGTATACGGCAACTTTTGTTGCCAAGTTTGATTGTCATCGTTTCCGAACCAGGTACGCGTGTTCCTCAATAAAACAAAGGAACACCATGCATTTGTGAGATAGGAAAACTTGCACTATACTGAGTTGCAGATCCTCAATTGGCAAAAAAATGCGAGTTTTACTGTAATTTTCATTTCAGAAAGCAAATTAGTATGAGTAATTGAATCTCATATGCGCTTAAAGGCAGTGTATCGGCAAATTTCGTTTTCCAGATTTTTATCTTTTCAGAGCCTTCCCCCTATGAGAAATCCATATATGGGGTTTTCAGCGCATGAAGATGGCGAAAATGAGCTTTTTCCGAAGCTTTCCAGGTTCGCATTCAGTAGAGGAGGAGGGCCTGGAAAGAGGAAGGCGGGACGCGACTTTTTTCGGCTCATCTTCACTGAATGCGGAACTGGAAAGCTTTTTAAAAGGCTTATTTTCGCTATCTTCATGCGCTGAAAAGCCCAGATAAGAATTTCGCATGGCGAGAAGGCTCTGAAAAGGCGAAAATCTGGAAAAGGAAAAGCCGCTGCCGAGACACTGCCTTTAAGCTGAGCGGTATGACTTCTGAAAACACCTCGGCTCAGGGTCGGTACAGGCACAGCGCAGGCTGCACACCGTTCGTTTCTGCAGGGTCACCAAACCAGTAACGAAAAACTGAATTGCTATGATTTGGCTGTGTAGGTTTCTTCAGAGGACTGGCTAAGACTTCGTAGCTATCAATCATACAAAATTTCGCCATCCTCTCCCTCCCTCTCAAGCCAAGCTTTTTCAACCGCCATTGACATTAAAATGCATACATGCAACTCTCCGCTTTCACTCCCGGCTCCCCCCCCCCCCCTCTTTTTCGCGACTTTCTCTTCACCTCCATAGTATTCTTTTGCCTCGCAGCTGCATTATCTACAGCAGATTCGTGCTCCAGTGTGCTCTCCGTGCAATTACGCCATTTCGAAATTCTAACTCGAAGTAAACAAAGGTTTTGCTTGGAACGAAAGAGCAATGATGTGCGTTCGAATATAGTGCTTACGCAATGGTTCGCTGGAACAAAATATGAAAAGTTACATAGAAATTATTGAAGACCCTGTAAATTTTTTTGTAAGTTAGGTGACCTCGAATCTTCTAGGAACCGCAGAATGTGTCAGTTTACTTATATCTTACATAATTTATAAACTTATTTACGTCACTTTCATCAGCATACCAAACACCTAGATTTTTAAAGGTTAAATCTCTTCTCTTGGCTTAATTACAATATTGTGAATGGTTGCAGGAATACTGCTCCATGGTAGTGTTGCGCGCCGGACACAGCATGCCGCTAACTCAGAGGAAACGAACATCATCGCTTTGCATACTGCGTGTTTAGCATTGATCGGCGCTATTCCGTTATCCGGGCCCCAAAAATTTTATTGTCATGGATTTCGCTCAAAATCTGTGTAGGAGGGGGGTTATCTGGCCCGCTGATGCTGAATATCACATTGGTTTTGCACCTTAGCGTCATTTCCTCGGGTTACGGTGGGTATACGGAGGGGTCAAAATCTCAAATCGGCAAATGTGATCGCTGATGCCAAATATCACATTGGTTTTAAACCGTAACATCATTTTCTCGAGTTACGGTAGGTACACGGTAACGGGTGTAAAAAATAGTTTTACACCAGTTACCGTGTACCTACCTTAACTCGAGAAAATGACGCTATGGTTTAAAACCAATGTGATATTTGGCATCAGCGGGCCGAATAAGCCCCCTAAGCCAAGTTTCCCTTGTACTTTGCTTAGGCAAAAGCCGCAACAGGATGTGTAGCGCGCGACGGTGGTCGTGTGTGCAAAGCTTCACGATTGTCCGAATCGCCGTACATCCGTTTCAGTTGCGTACCGAGGGGGGGGGGCGGGGGGGGGGGCGCCCCCCCCCCCCGAGAACGGGTCGCGAAATCTTTGAAAGTTGCCTACATGAGCTATAAAATTGTGCAAATGACTTGTTTATACTTGTAAATTTAAAATATTTTATGAAATTTTTTAAAAATTCAAATTAGCCTTGTAAAAAAAATTTTTTCGGGGGCGTGGCTGACGCCACGCCCCTTTTTTCTGAAATTTCGGGGTTATGAGCCCGCGTTGAAAGCACTAAAAAATTTTCGGAGTGCGTGGCTCACGCCACGCACCTTCATTAGAAAAAATTTTGTCGCGCCCCCCCCCCCGAGCCAAAATCCTGGGTTCGCCACCGGTTTCAGGCAAAACTATTTTTTACACCCGTTACCGTTTACCTACCGTAACTTGAGAAAATGACGCTACGGTTTAAAACCAATGTGATATTTGGCATCAGCGGGACGAATAAGCCCTCTAGGCCAAGTTTCAGCGAAACCCGTGATTTTGACCCCCTACCGTATACCTACCGTAGCCCCACAGGGAGGCATTTTCCTGCGGAGGAAATGTGATATTTGTGATCAGCATGTCAGATAACCCCCCCCCCCTGAGCCGAGTTTGAGCTAAATTCATGACAAGAAATTTTGGGGCCCGGATAGCGGAATAGCGCCCTTCGATCTTCTGTTTTAGTCTTCATTCCTATTCAACTTTCTTCCTAGCATCTCATAGAAGATGTTGTACTCCTTACAAAATTGAAGAGGACTTCGTTCTCGTAAGTTTCCAGAGTCACCTCGTGCCGAGCTTTTCTGCTAGATTCAGCAAGACTTTGATAAAGATTTAGCCGGTCAGCGGCCATTTAACCTTTTGTAAGGGACTTTCTGGCTCGTGTTGGAGAACATGAACTGAATAGGTTGAAAAACCCCTGTTACTCTTAGGATTTAAATTTTTGGCTTACTAGCTGGACTCGGCTTCGCTCGGTCCCTGTCAACCTGACGTGTTAGCACCCGCAACAGTCCGTCCCACTTTTGCACAACACCTCCCTTCCCTGGTCTCTTCGATATGACAGCTTCTCCTTTCCACTCCCATCCCCCCTCTCCCCTCCTCTAGAGCCAACTCCCAGCCCTGTAGCTTGAGGTTTGCAAAAAATCAGTAAAATCAAGGTGAATCGACAACGAAGGCCTATCAGAAATGATCTATTCCGTATGTAAGTACATGCAGGTAGGCACTTGATTTCAAAGATATCCGTTTTCATTCAGTGCCATATTCGTACCCATACCTTCGATAGTCAAGAGAAAGACCTTAGAAAGTGATAGTTGTTTGAGTTCCTGCCCCTATAAGAAGTGAAGGTTGTTTCAGAAAAAAGATGGAAATTTAGAGATATGAATTAAACCAGGAAACTTGAAAAATTTATATAAAACAGAGGTTAGCACCACAGGTGCGATAGTGTGAGACTTTTCTCACCCCCTCTTCACCCCTGAGCGGGGACCAAGGTGACCCCCTTCACCAAAAGCCGAGAAAAAAATCAACAGTGAGGTAAGGTTAAGCAAAGGAGATATTTGTACGTGAATTGTCAGTGTATAGGAAAGGAGGAGTCTGTTGAAAAAAGTGCTTGGTGACGGGTGTGAGTAGTGATTTCTGGAAATTTTCGGGTTTTTGACATAAAAAAATTCATAACTTTTGTAGACGAACATCTTTTACGGCGAGATAGTCACCATTAGAACCGCCTCGTTCTCCGCTCTCAGAATATATACAGCATGTTTGAGATCCGTTTGAAAAAGTGCGTGGTGAAAGATGTGCCTAGTGATTTCTGGGAATTTTCGAGTTTTCAGGATAAAAAAATACGTGACTACTGCAGATGAACTGCTGGTGCGAGGAAATAATAACCATCGGAGCCGCCTCTTCCTCCGCTTTCAAAAAATATATGGCATGTCTGAGATCCATTCAAAAAAGTGCCTGGGTGAAGGGTGTGCTTAGTGATTTTTAAAGATGCTCGATTTTTTTAATCATAAAAAGATTCTTAACTTTTTTAGATGAACATCTTGTACGCCGTGGTAGTCACCATTGGAACCGTCTTGTCCTCCGCTTTCAGAAAATATATACTTTGTCCGGGATCCATTGGAAAAAGTGCCGGGTGAAGGGTGGGTGAGACTTTTATAATGGGAGTGCTCAAGTAGACGCCTTTTTACAATGGAAAAAAAGCCTGTACTTGAGCACTCCCATTATAAAAGTCTCACCCACCCTTCACCCGGCACTTTTTCTAATGGACCCCGGACAAGGTATATATTTTCTGAAAGCGGAGGACAAGACGGTTCCAATGCTGACCATCACGTTGTACAAGATGTTCATCTAAAAAAGTTATGAATTTTTTATGATAAAAAATCGAGTATCTTTAAAAATCACTAAGCACACCCTTCACCCAGGCACTTTTTTGAATGGATCTCAGACATGCCATATATTTTTTGAAAGCGGAGGAAGAGGCGGTTCCGATGGTTATTATTTCCTCGCACCAGCAGTTCATCTGCAGTAGTCACGTATTTTTTTATCCTGAAAACTCGAAAATTCCCAGAAATCACTAGGCACATCCTGCTGCTGTATATTTTCTGAGAGCGGAAAGCAAGGCGGTTCTAATGGTGACCATCTCGCCGGAAAAGATGTTCTTCTAAAAAAGTTATGAATTTTTTTTATGTCAAAAACTCGAAAATCTTCAGAAATCACTAGGACCACACCCAGGCACTTTTTTTGACGACACCAGGCAATGTATATATTTTCTGGAAGCAGAAAACGAGGCGGTTTCAATGGTAGCCATAACGGCGTAAATTATGTTCATCTTCAGAAGTTACGGATTTTTCTATCCTAAAAACTCGAAAATATCCAGAAATCACTACCCACACTCTTCACCAGGCACTTTTTTAACTCCAGGCAAACTATATATTCTTTAGAAGCGGAAGACAAGATGGTTTCAAAAATATTCACCTTGCTGACGTTGCTGTTCATCTACAGAAATTACGAATTTCTTCTTTGGAAAAAATTCGTAAATGCTTAAAAATTGTCTAACTCTTTCCGAAACAAATGTTCGCATGCACATCAACTATGGTAATTCCAGAACCAGGCGGGCGATGTAAAAAAGGGAAAAGGAAATGTAAAAAAATACAAGGTGCTGGTCAGAAATATAACTGTATGCTAATCCAGCAGCGTATCACTTCACGTTTCAGAAAAAAGACAAACAGTGATGGTAAGGAATTGGAAATTATGAACTTTGACTGGGGAAAATGATGGCTCCCCCCCCCCGTCGAGTTTACGGTTTCTTTACCAAGTAAAACACCCTTCACCCTGGAGGGGTTGCGACCACTGTGACCCCCTTCACCCTGGGGGAGTCATTCCCACCTTATCGCACCTGTGGTTAGCACATCACCAAGTTTGAAACCTTGACTTGGTGGTTTTCTACGCACAGTTTCCTCTTCAGAATTGTCAGTTAAATTGGGTGGCAACAAGAACAAAGCTCTTTTCCAATTAAAAAAAGCGCTGTTTAGCTATGGCGGTAGTTGGGTGACCGGAAGAAGGAAAACATGTTAACAACTGAATTGAACATGTTAAACACGTCTGAAAAGACATGATGCACATCGACGCCAATCCGATTTTTGACGCGTCCCCTAAATTTTCACCCCCGCATAGTCGTCTTCGTATCCTGCGACGTTGTCTGGATTCTTCCGATCATCATTCTGAGCAAGAATCATCCAAGCTGGAGAAAATTCTTTGCGAAAGCACTGAAAGAAGACAAGGTAAGGAAAAAACGCACATTCTAGTAATTTTCACACAAAAAACCGGCATAAGCAAAGAAGTAAGCTCGGCGACGTTGTCTACATCATAGACAGAAATAAGACCTATCGAATACACAAAAAAAACCGAGTGAAAAGAGTTGAACCGAAGAAAAAACAAGAGGTTTTTGAAAAAGCCGTTTTTTCCAGATTTCTCGTTTAAGTCATAAAAAGAAGTCTTGCGACGTTGCCAGCGTGAAAATAGAAATCAAGAGCTTTAATATGATATATAGGTTGTCATAAATGGGCTCCGAACAACGAAGAAAAGGGCACCAGAGCCAAATGCCCCGCGACCCCATCTGAGGTAGCGAGGTAGCGCGCAACGTGCGGAGACGCAGACGAGCAGCGGAGACAGATCAGAGCCGGCGGGGCATTTGGCTCCGGTCATTGATTTCCGCGGGGTCATAATGAAACCCTATAACATATATCTTTGTGATCCTCATGAGACGGCCAGGAGCACTGACAACGTCGAGGGTCTTGAAAATCACTCCATAACGAGATACACCAACATTTATGTGGCGACTCTCTGCGGAAGATTTCAGCGCAGTTTCTCGTTATTATTAAATTCCAGCGGCTTTCATGAGCTTCCGGAGCTCAATCGCAGTCTAAAGAGAGGTTATTTGAGAAATTTTGTCCTAGTTTCTAATCGAATTTTCAAATAAAAACCTTCTTTTGAGCAAAAAGGCCACAACGCAATCCTTCGGTTTTTTTGAGCTTTTTTTGGATGTCACTACTTTATTGGTTATGTCATTATTATGTCATAATATCCGGGGCTTCGCCCCGGATGACTTCTGTACTTCTCTCCAGGTGAAGGTTGTTTCTATCATAGCGATCAAAGTGAAAGTTACCAGATACATGGCTCCAGGGCTCGGCATAGCTGGCACCGGGTCAAGCTGGATATCGTTTTTGGGGCTGAGAGCAAAGGGGATATCGTTTTTCCGGAGTCCGGGGCGGAGCCCCGGAAAAATTCCGCTTACTCTCCTTCATAAGATCACAAAGATTGCAAAACATGCAACACAAACGAACTCTGTCTCGCAAAATGCTCTTCCAGACATATTCGGCCGAAATGCAGACGGCATGCTAAGTCTAAATTTGGCCGCTAGCATGCCACTGACATGCCAGCGGCGACATGCCGGCGGCGTGAGCGCGGGAGTTCAAATTCTGCCGGAAATAAACAAAAGCCTTATTTACAAATGGAACGCAATCATATGACACCAAATTGGGTGAGTGCATGCGCGTTGGGGGACACAAACTATGGCCCAAAAATTTATGAAAACTTATGTGAACTGAAGCTGTGCCCAACTTTTTCCTGAATTAGCTGGCACCGTGCCAGCTGGGTGCCAGCTGAGCTGGCACCGACCCTTTGCACACATAAATTTTCATACTTTTTTACATCAATTGTATCTACACCCTAAAAGTTTACATACAGAGAAAAAACGATTTCATAATGTTTCCTTTTCGGCGTTTTATAGCCATCTGAAGTTTTTCCGGTCTGCTCCGCAGTCTAGTAATCTGCTCCAATCACAAGGCGCGCTCTGAGCAAATGCGGCGCGAATTCTGCCGATTTCATTTCGACACTTTATCAATCTTATTATTTATCGCTTTTGTATCCTTGCGTCACCATTTTTGTATTGTCCTTTCTATTCCTCTATTTGTTTTGTTCCAGGCATCCACTTTCGACACTGCACACTTCTATAGAGCACGCATTCAGCTTATTGGATGCTGATGAGAGCTTATCGAAGGATTATGAGGATCCTGGATCGAACACAACTACGGGATAAGTTATTTATTTTGTTCTCTTATGTTGTTATGCTTTATTGCTTCTATCTTTCTCATGTTCTTATGTTTTTTATTCATCTGTCGTGCTTTGACGGGGGGAAAAGGAACTGTATTATAGAACCCAACAAGTCATAGACTTGGTACTTTAAACTAAACAAGACGTAGAGGAAATGCGCAGCTGTGATCAAATTCCGGATTCTTCGGAACTTTTTCTGAACTTGCAGTTTTTAAAAGTGCTTTTTGTTTGTTTTGCGAACAATCAGAGCGAAAAAGAACAACGAAATCATATAATTGCCAATTTCAGCCATGATTGGTTCATTGTAAGTGCCGAACTGCAACCTGGAGCACTATTTTTAGTTGTAGTTTCGACGTACGTAAGTGCGGAACACTTTCTTCCATGCTTGTCGACAGACAAACTCAGTATGATAATATTAGCGAACTTTATGCAGTCACAGCAGCTATGCCATCCTCTACGCCTTGTTTCGTCTAGCGAACCAAGTCGATGACCAATTCGTTTCTATAATACAGTTGTTTTTAGGTGTCCTTCCCGCGCTACTCAATTGAGATTTTCCTCAGATTTTTTATTTGCATTACTGCATCGTTGTAGAGCTCATTTACTCCATTCTGTCAGTTTTCCGGTTTCGCCGATATTGAGGCGCTACCAAAGGTTCAAAAACAAAGTGTCAGTCCATAGTGCAGTTGTGTAATTAGGTCGCGCTTCGTGGGGAGTTTCTTGCAACATAGTATTGTTCTGTGAAATATATTTGTGAATAGCCGAACATGGATTCTTATGAATAAATCTTTTAAAAGCTCAGAAAGTCAGTGAAGAGTTGTTAAATGAAATCAGTATGCGTGAAAACCCTATTACAACTCTTTCAGAGTCTAAAAACATTGACGGGTCTTCGAAACAGGACAAAGGGGAATTCGTACGAAATTTTCAAGGTCAAAGGGGACTTCGTTCTGAAATTTCCCTGGTGCCAGCTCGTGCCGAGCCCTGCATGGCTCTATGTATCGAAGGTATGCTCGTACCGTCGTGTCTACATACTACCATATCTTTCGGACTATTTAAACGGGATATTTGCTTCAGATGTTCAATTGTACATATATGGCAATTTCTTTTCACCTTCCACATTCTTGTCTTGGAAAAAAAGGAAAATGGATTCAAAGTCACCCAGAGATCAGGTCAGGCTCAGACGTGCAGTTCTTCAAAATGCCGCAATCCTGATTGAATTTGGTTTTCATATTTGTTTAAAACCGTATAATCAAATAACTTTATTGTTCCCAAATTGTTCGTTTATGGACGAATTAAAAAATTACTGCACCATGAATTTGGCAGGCATTTTCAAGGATATATGACCGGCATTAATTTCCATTGTATTGATCGCCAAATATGCTTGAAAGGAGCTAGCAAGCTGTTGTGAGTGCGAACAATGCTGTCGTACGTGATACTCTTTCTCTTTATTGCGATAGGTGAAAAACAACTTAAATGCAGTATTTTGCTTAGTTCAACAAACACTGTTCAGCTGTGAAACCGGCCGACACACAGCTGGATTTGAATAGCTTGGTAAGTTGGTAAGTTGGTAAGTTCTAGGCTGTAAGGCTGCGTTCATACTATCCCGAAGTCCGGGAACAGTTCCAGCACAAAGCTCAGTTCGAGCGCTGTGCTGGAACTGTTCCCGAACTTCGGGATCAGTGTGAACGCAGCCTAAGAATATTGCTGAGTCCTGGTCGCACCTAATAGCATTGGGTAGAGGTACGAACACCTCAATTAGGCGCCGCTTCTGCGGGCTGCTGGTCCTTTCGTCCTACTGTTGTACATCGTGTTGGGACCAGTAGTCCGCGGAGGCGGTGCCAAATTGAGGCGTTCGTTCCTCCACCCAATGGCATTGCCCACGTAACGTGCGTAACACTCACTATACCGAAGCATAAATCCCGTTGCATCATGTTCAGAAATCAAAAGTAGTAGATGAAAAAATTCCTTTCCCTCATTCTTGCAGAGTGATTCATAAAACTTGAGTCGTTGACTGCACCTTTTTTGTAGTGTTTACCTTCTATATTTCCCATTTTTGGCACGTGTAAAAAGTTTCAAAAAGTTTCACAAAGAAAAAGCTTCACGGTCCCAAACATATAGTGATTAGAATCTATGAAGTATTTCATTATTATTAAGTATAAGTATTATCAGGGGTAGTTTTCTCATCCCAAGTAGCAATTCAATCCCTTCCCTTGGGTGAAATATCTGAAGGTAAGACGAATAAGATAATCTACATCAACCATTCCTCATATCTTGTGTAAAAACCTTTTAGCCCAAAATTGCTGGACAATGTGATGATTAAGATCTATGAAAATCTTATTATCAAGTTGATATTCAGGGCGGCGGCCTTCTCAGCATACCTGGAATACCCGGAATAAATAATCAAAAGGTAAGGCGAATAAGATAATCTACATTAACTATTCCTCAAATCTTGTGTCAGCACCTTACAGCCCAGAATTGCTGGACAGCAAAGAACTCGAAAAATTAGAAAGCATTATTTGTAGGAATTATGACCAAACATCAAACATTTTCAGTCATTGGTTCCAAAGATGTGATGATTAGGATCCATAAAGTATTTTGTTATTATTAAGTGTACGTTCAGGGAGATTTTTTCAATCTAGGCGGCCTTTCCAATCTCATCTCTGGAATAAATAATCAAAAGGTGAGGCAAATAAGATAATCTACATCAACTATTCCTCAAATCTTTGTCAAACTTTTCAGCATAGAGTTGCTGTACAGCGGAGAGCTCGAAAAAATAGAAGGCACTAGCTCCGCTCGGCCCTGTCAAAATACTGTAATAAAGGTCCCGTCCCTATCCCTGTGCCCAATTCTACACTTCATTTCCCATTCCCTGTGTTGTTTTCGAAATCCATGCTCACTTACCCCCCCCCCCTCCTGTGCCAGCTCCCAGCCCTGTAGCTCAAACTTTGCGCAAAATCGATAAAATCGATAAAGTAATCGATAATTTTGAAAACTGATATTGCATTCGGAATCGCCATACCCGCTTACCTCCCTGTGCCAACTCCCAGCCCCGTAGGTAAACTCTGCAAAAAATCTATAAAATCGACACCGATCGATAACGAAAAGTAGCCTGTGACACGCTCCCTTCCCCAAAGTATATGTATGCCAAGTTTGGTCCAAATCGGTTCAGAAATAAAAATTTCTATTCCGCACATACGTACACACAGATATACAGATAGACAGACAGACATTCAGCTATATATAAGATTGAACTGGAGCTTGTGGTTTCGTAAAATGAAGAGAATAACAGCTATCGAAAAGACTGCGTTAAATTTTGCACACAATCGTGAAAAAGTTCGCATTCAATCTGAATTCAGTTACCGTTGATACAGTTGTAATTCATGTGGCCACGTCCGTAAAAAAACTCTATGTGATATTGCTCAACAATATATTTTAGACTGGTACATCGCTGATTAATATATGCGGACAAAAAATTTCAAACAAATAGGAAGTGGGTTATAGACTTTTATGCTTTGATATCAGGTAAACCACCTGAAGATCCGCTGAAGAACTTCCTGCATCTCATATTGCTTCTTCGCGTTTTGCAATGTTTTTGTAATTATAATAGTAATTTTCGCCGTTATTCTGCTCAACAGCAGATTCCAAGTAGTACACCACACAAACTGCCTGTTACTGTACTATTCCATGCATACTATCATAGCATCAGGAATATCTTATACCTATTGAGAATGTCCTGGCGAAAAAACACTAAAAAGGTACACGAAAGTGAGGACCTGGAAAGTTATAAACGCTAATTGATGTCACTCTTTCTGAGACAACTACCCCCGCTTCTAATAATTAGGATGGACACTCACAAAAATAAAGAGTTGACAGATGGAAGCAGTAATATAAATTGCAATTTTATATATAGATGTCAACTTTTCTGATCATTGATTTGCATACTCTGATTCACATTCTGCTACCCGCGTTAGGCCCCGACAGAGTTCACGCGATTTGATGGTCGGATTCAATCGCGCGATTTCCATTCATTTTCATTTTACATTGAAATATTTCGTGCTGGAAAAGTACCCTATTTCCAGGTGTACAGTAAGTTTCGAACCGCTTTAGGCGGAATTTGGACTGGCGGGAGTCCGCCTCGCAACAGCTCGCGCCGTTTCGCAGCTACAGTATATCCTATCGTGCTGGGAACCCATGTCTGCGTCTCTTCAATCTCTCAAGTCTTTGCTTGGCAAAATGCGAGCGCTATGCGCTCGCGAAGCCTCCAGCGGTGCGCATGCGCTGCTCCACGTAGGATGTCTCGCCTAATCTGGGATGAAAGCGACTGTATAAGCCGCACCCTTTTCAACCTAAAGGCGAACACGCCAAGAGACTGACTGTCATCATGGAGCGCGTTAAGTGAGAGCAGTATGCGATAGGCGACCGCTTCGCGAGACATATGCGCGGCGGCACGCCTGGGTCTGCTCGCGTTTAGAGCAAAAAGGGTGCGGCTTATACACCTGAAAATAGGGTACCACAAGCGCAATGCAAGCTGGTCGGCATGCAATGAACTCGTAACAGTTGTCTTGTCGCAATTGAATCGCGACAATCAAATCGCGTGAACTCTGTTCGAGGCCTTACGCAACTCTTCGCTAAAGTTTAAGGCCCCGGGCAGACTTCACGCGATTTGATCGTCGCGACTGAATCGCGAAGATCAAATCGCGTGAAGTCTGTCCGGGGCCCAAGGCGTCTTACATGTAGGGGTAATTTTGCCAATGCGGTCACCGTTCGCACATTTTTTCTGAAGAAAGAGCAGCACTATGTACAAATCCTGCGCTCTGTGCAATAGTCTTTCATTGCACCTTATCGGCAGCGTGGCATCCAATTTTTTCTCACCGAACCACACTTCTTCATGAGAAAGCAAGCACAGTACTGGTGAAGCACGTTCGCTCCGCAGCTGTCATTATCAAGTGCCTATTACTCCTTACCGAATATTATATGCAGCTATATACTCAAGGGCAGCGTCTGCGCAAATCTGGACCTGTAGGGGATCTCACGTGCAAGGTAATTCTGAAGAGTTGATCAAAGGCCGCTGGCATTAAAGGCAGTGTCCAGGCAAATCTGGGCGTATGGGTTTTTTTGCCTGGAAATTGATGAGGGGGTCCTAACTAAGGCACTGCCCAAAGGGCAGTGCAAATTGTTTATTCACAGCTGAGAAATCCGTCCCCGAAAACCCCGCCCCGCGCCTGCGCCGTCACCCTAACCCGAAAACGACTTCGCTCACTTTAACACTATGTTCGATGGGACCCATCCCTAAGTGTTACGGTCACGGCGCAGCCGCGGAGTGTTTGGGGATGGATTTCTCAGTTGCGAATGGATCATTTGCGCTGCGGTTTGGGCAGTGCCTTAGCTAAAGCCTCCTCATAGTTTCCAGGCAAAAAACCCATATGCCTAGATTTGCCTGGACACTGCCTTTAACAGAGTGGCCATTGACATCCCCACCGGGACGGATCGCAGCTCAAGAAGCTTCATATCCTGAAGCTCCAGATATCTGAATTTCACGCCGTATAACTTATCCTCAGGTATTCTCACCATCCTTCATCATGAACTTAGTGAACAGAGGCAAGAAGCTGTACAAGCTGCATTTTTTAGTTTTTTGTGTGTCCCCCTGATGATCCTCTGTGGCCGACCGTCTTTTCATTGGAGTCATTTTTCTTTCTTCGAAGATAACATAATAATATAATAACGATAACATTCCAAAATTTGTCGATCATCTAATCATCTGCTAAGCATGCTGTCAATAAGAACAAATGATGTTTTGGAGTCTTAAAATTTGCTGAGCCACATGTTTGGGTTTGCCGAAAAATTCGGTATTTCAATATCATTTGTTCTTATCACCAACATGCTAGGCACTGTTGGGTTAGACGAACAGTGGTACTTTGAAAGGTATTCGTTAACTACGAAGAAAGAAAGACTCCAATGAAAAGACGGTCGGCCACAGAGGATCATCAGGGGATCACACGAAAAGCTAAAAAATGCAGCTTGTACAACTTTTTGCCCCTGTTCACTATGTTCAAGATGGAAGATGGTGAGAATACCTGAAGATAAGTTATATGGCGTGAAATCCAGATATCTGGAGATCCAAGATGTGAAGCCTTCTTTCGAACTACGATCCTTTTCCCGGCGGGGTTGTTATTGCATGCGGCGACAGTAATCAAACGACAACGCGCATGTTTGACTAACGGCTGAGATATTTGCCTCCTTTTTGGATCCCAGGATCATATCAACGGACAACGCGCATCGTGCTTGCACGCTTTTGCGCACCCATGAAATGGGTCGTGGTAAATCATGCGAACATGGGGCAAATCGTCCGTTGATACGATGGTGGGGTCCATTTGGAGGCGAATCTCAGCCTTGAGGCACCATATGAGCTGCGTTCGTGTTGATCGCGAAATCCGGGAACCGAGAACAGTCAGCATTGCCCTCCGTTCGAGCGCTGAGCTGGAACTGTTCCTGAACTTTCAGATCAGTATGAACGCAGCCTTAGATGCTTGGGAGTGTCTTAGTTAGGGTCCAAAATTACTCCACGCGAGATCCCCATAAGTCCAAATTTTAATGCTGCTTTCAATGTATATTAAGGAAGTATCTGGCTATTTATTGCATTAACGTGATGCATAAATCGTGACATTTTGTGAACTCGTAGATTCACTCAACATTTGTTCATTTCCATATGAATGCATTGAATAACTTTCTTAGTGGTTTCGATTTTGAGTTTCCCACACGTCTTTCTGTCTTAGTTTCAAATTGGTTGTTTACTACGTATAACAAAACACATTGAACCTAGTGATGATCTCAATGAAGGTAACAGTCAACAAATATGGGGTGTTCCATAAGTAAGTACACAGTTTTCAAACGGTAATAACTCTCTTCTCGCAAAGTCTTTGGCTTAGCTTCAAGTCTCATTCAGTAGAAAAGGCTTCAATTTAGATCAACAGCTGAGAGTGAATCACTCGACTCTCTTCATTACTGTAGGATTACGGTAGAAACTTTGGAGGGGTTTTGAGCCATTAATGACTACATTTTGCCTCAGAATGGATTCTCAATGAGCCAGTTTATAAACTGATTTGCTGATTATGAATTTGAAAGTTGCAGTTACCGTAAAAAATTTTTTTCGTAAATTATACCAGGTAAATCGCAGTAAATTTTTTCAGTAAGTTTCAATGGTGGTACCATTTGAAACGCTTGAAAAACTTGTAGAAAGCTGTTTATTGGAATTAGCATGTCTGAAAACATCTCTGCACAACTGTTCAGAATTTTATGAAACTTTCTTCTGTAACGGCCTGCTTCATAATAGTACTGCATGCTGCAACATCCTACCGTAATCCAATAGTAACGAAGAGCGATGAGTGATTCCATACCGTAGGTCTAAGCTGAAGCCCTTACTACCGAGTGGTGCTCAATGCTGAGCAAAGGACTTTGTAGATGAGAGTCATTGCCGATTAAAAAGTGTGGACTTACTTTTGAGACAGCCTAGACAAAAACAGCCTCGTACAAATTAGCCTACGTCATTTTTTACCTAGCAATCATCTCCTGTATATTTTACAGCTTCTCTTGATTATAGTCAATCGCTGCAGTTGCTACTATGATCTCAAAAGGGATGAGGTTAAAAGATTCTTTCTAAAATGGAATCGAAGAATACTAAGGCCCGTATGCACGTACATCCCCGCGGGGAGGGGAGGGGATCTGAGAGGGGAAGCGTCATATCTCGCTAGTCTACATATCTTTCTCCTTCTTTTTTTATCTTGTTTATGAAGTTTCTCATACACTGATACCTGCGCATAATGGATGCCAGGTTACTGCTATACAAGATTAAATATTCATTATTTCTTCCCGTCCCCCTGGGGATCCCCAGGGGATCATCTAACATTTTCGAAGTCATTTATCTTCCTGAAAACTCAATGAAAACGCCGGCAGAATGTTCTGAAGATATACTACGATACTGTTGAGCATGTTCTCGACAGAAGAAATGGAATCTAAAGATTTTGATTTTTTCGATAATCCCTGGCTCGCGAGCAGCGGTTCATCGAAATTTTTGATATCTTGAGATTTTAGTCATTTCTACCACAAGCATGTTTAGCACTGCTGTGGTATTTCCCCAGAACAATTTTAGAGCATTTTCATTGAGTTTTCAGGAAGATAAAGGACTTTGAAAATGTGAGGTGATCCCCTGGGGATCCCCAGGGGATCAGACGAAATATTGAATATCTAATCTTGTATGATAGTAACCTGGCATCCGTTATGCGCAGGTATCAGTGTATGAGAACCTTCAAAAGCAAGACAGAGAAAAACCAAGAAAGATATAAAAACTAGCGAGATATGACGCTTCCCCTCTCAGATCCCCTCCCCTCCCCGCGGGGATGTACGTGCATACGGGCCTAATTCTTTGGTGGGAACTGTAGAGAAGTCTGAAATGCAACAAATTTGATCTTTCGAAATTCGTGGCTAAACGTTCTTCTAACAGCTCCGCTGAGGCGTTTTCGAATTTCACGGCTATGCTTTGAACAAGGAGAAAAAGCCGCGAAAGCTGCACTGGTCAGCAGTTAAGGAAGTCAAAAGATAGAAACGACTTCATCAAATACTGAAATCGCTTGAATATTAGTAGAAAAATTTTGCTGAGCTGTTCAATATCTTACCAAATTTTTGAGGAATCTTCAGTTTTTACAGATGATTTTGTCGGGTGCTTTTCACTGAAGAAACTACTCATGAATGAGCTTTCTTTCAATAAAATAAACGAAGGTTATGCGCAGTGAGCGCTATCTCTTGTTATTACATAGTATAGGCGTAGAGCTTTCCAGTCATCGCTACGTATATCTCAGCCATAGCATGGAAAAGTTTCTCAAAATGCAACGCAGCAGCGGCCTTCACTTTCAAGGTCTTATGTCTCATTTTTCCATCCTGTGGTCACTTTGTTGGTATCATCGTAAAACTCGGTCATGGTGTAAAGTTTTAGTAAGTTTTAGTTTTTTGCAGCTATACAAACTCATTACTCTAACTGCGCTTTTAACGCAGTTAAACTAATGAGTATGTATAGCTGCGCAATAACAAACCAGGTACAGTCGCTTCATTTCATATGATCATGTGTGTTATTGCACACACAGTTCACCTTTGGCGTCCCCATCCTGGATTCGTGGGAGAAACAAGCCTTCGGGTAAGTGTTTCCAAGGTGCTCCTAGCCTTTTTTCCTTTTTAGTCACTAGTCACCTCAAATTGTGGTAATCGATAACAATCGGTAAGTCCCTTGCGTTTTTGCGATTGCAAATCCAGGATGAGGACGCCAAAGTGGACTGTGTGTGCAATGGCACACATGATCATATGAAATGAAGCGACTGTAAATGAAAAAAATTTCAACAACAGAAATTACTTTGTGCTCTCAAAATTTAGCGTTCTTAGAAAAAAGTTCACTGCAGACCTCTTCTATTTCAAATGCAAAAACATCCATCAAATTGATTTTCGTTTAATATCATTATCACCGGATCTTCATGGACTAAATCTCGTAAATCTATTTTTTACGTGGTTCGATGTTAAGAAATTCAATGATTGCGGAGACCTACTTTACGTGCCTCAGATTTTTTTTGCCAAGAATGGCTGCTGTTCGATAATGATAATTATGTTTCTAGTCATGCTTTTACAGATAATAGGGCTCTAAAAATTTATTGTCTAACAGAAAGAACTAATATCCAGGTGCAGTGCGAGGAGTAGGGCAATGGTCGCAGCTTCCAGTAGCGCCACTGTCGCCGTCCGGTCCTCTTTCTCCTGGAGCTCCGGGCTGTCCAGGTGCACCAGCACTTCCGTTGTCTCCGGGAGGACCCTGACCTCCAGGGTTTCCTGGGTTTCCTGGGCCTCCGGGATTTCCGTTGGGTCCTGGGGGTCCTGGAGGTCCAGGAAACCCAGGAAACCCTGGAGGTCAGGGTCCTCCCGGAGACAACGGAAGTGCTGGTGCACCTGGACAGCCCGGAGCTCCAGGAGAAAGAGGACCGGACGGCGACAGTGGCGCTATTGGAAGCTGCGACCATTGCCCTACTCCTCGCACTGCACCTGGATATTAGTTCTTTCTGTTAGACAATAAATTTTTAGAGCCCTATTATCTGTAAAAGCATGACTAGAAACATAATTATCATTATCGAACAGCAGCCATTCTTGGCAAAAAAAATCTGAGGCACGTAAGTAGGTCTCTGCAATCATTAAAATTCTTAACATCGAACCACGTAAAAGATAGATTTACGAAATCTTCCATAAAGATCCAATGGAAGGTTCAGACGAAGGATCAACCCAAAGGGTGTTTTGGCATTTGAAATAGATGCAGTGGAATTGCAGTGAAATTTGATGCTTGTCGGGTTAGATCCGAGTTTGACTGCTGAACTTTCAGAAACTTGATCACGTGATCCAATAATATTAGGTTGGCACGAAAGTTCTTGCGTAATTCAAATAAAATATAATAACTTTTCAAAGACTTAACCTAAATTCACAATCTTGTATGCTAAAAATATTAGAAGTCTTACGCTTCATGATGGATGTTTAAGCATAAGATTCCGTGAGCTGGACATCAAGAACGAAGCTCTCGAATATGGGGCTTCAAATTTTGCGATTTTGAGTTTGGTGCCAGAAAATCGCAGAGTGCCGCTAGCTAGCCGAAAAAAACTGTAGAATTTACTTACACAACAAAAGTCCATATGTTACTTTGGAAGGCTTTGATCTTGCACGGTGAAGCAAAAACAAACAATTCGTGAAATAAGTCATTTTGCGGAAAAAATCCCCTCATGTCTGCAGTTTTCCGGCAAAAACACTTTTTTACAATCGAGAAAAGGTCGCAAGGCTCTAAATAGGCACTATGTCTAATTTCTGGCTGCAAACTGTGCTTCTGCAGAAAAGTTAGAGCGATAAGGGGACTTATCCTGTGAAATGAGAATTTTCACAAATTTTTTGTTTTCGCGTTTCCATGCGAGATAAGCCTGCTAAAATAACGTATGGACTTTTGCTGTGTATGTAAATTCTACAGATTTTTTTTCGGCTAGCTAGAGGCACTCTGCGATTTTCTGGCACCAAACTCAAAATCGCAAAATTTGAAGCGCCATATTCGAGAGCTTCGTTCCTGATATCCAGCTCACGGAATCTTATGCTTAAACATCCATCATGAAGCGTAAGGCTTCTAATATTTTTGGCATACAAGATTGTGTTTTTAGGTTTGGTCTTTGATAAGTTATTGAGTTTAGTTTGAATTACGCAAGAACTTTCGTGCCAACCTAATATTTCACGGTTAGAAGAAAGATGCTTGCTTCTAAAACTTAGTGAGAAGCGCGCTCACACTGAGTACGCCAATCAAAGGTGAGACTCCCCAATATTTCCTTGGCATTGCGCAATAGGAATATAAGTGGCAAGAAACTTCACTCTTTATGTATAATTTCACCCATTGCTAGTCTAAGAAGCGTAATCTACGTAGGACAACTACAGTTATACTGTGTAGCCAAACTAAAAGAATCCAAAAGAAACTCAACGTGATAAAACTGAAAAGAAAGTTCGAACGATAGTTGATCTCTTTTTTGCACGTGTGACTCTTGGAGCAGTGGTATGACCATATGTGTCATCTACTGATATCAGCTGATCGAATTCTGCGATAACACTTCGCAACATATGGGACCACTGCTCTTATAAAAATCTATTGCTGATCTGATATGCGAAAAGAAAATTCTATGGTTTAGTAAGAGCAGCTAGAAGAAGATAGGTCGTATACGAATTTCGCTTGAACCTGAACATAATAACGTAACTCAAGCTCAAAGGCAGGGTAACAAGGAATCAGGATCTTAGCATAAAGTCAAGTAAAGACAAAAACGGCGGAAATGTGCTGCAACATTCATTTCTTGAATTTCGTAAGACGTAAAATGGTCCTTATTCGCAAACGAACAGATAATCAACAGGTGCTTTTCAAACTCTGCGATCTAGATTAGTGTAAAAAGTTGGTTCAGAATTGATGTTCTTCGTCTGGACACTGGTTTTCCATCGACTTATCCGTGGATATCCCTGAGCAATTGAGAACTTTCGCCTAGGAGCAGTTCGCGCTCGACGTTTACGCATCATCTCCTGAATTGAAAAAACGCATACTTTTGTGGAAATTGTATACGCAGATATTGAAACAACCAAGCTCTCATTTGTTCTTATTTTTTTCCTCACCTAAATTTGACCCCGATCCCACATTGCTGCAAAGAATTTTGTTAATTACTCCTTACCTTGTATTTGAGGACTGGAGAGAGTTGCTCGATAATTTTGCGGTTTCTTTCGATTTGCTCAAAAATCGGATCAGCGTTCAAGGATGCTGTATTTAAATCTCTAAGCGTCTAAAAGAAATCGAGGATTTTACCTCAAATCAAGCTAACGAGAGAAGGCTTTTCTTACAGAAGCTTGAGTCTCACAGGGAGAGCCTGTGGTCGCTAGAAGTTCACTTGGAACAGATGGCTCTGTGCAGGACCTTCCGTACAGCTTCCGCGCAGCACGTTCGGCATCGGCTTCGTACTCAAAGGCAGTTGAGACTGTTGCAGCCATAAAATGAAGACCTGTGGCCTTGACGTCGAGAGTAATGGAACCGATGCAATATTCATTTCTCTGGCGCCTTCTTTTTTGCTTCTCTAATCAGCTGCGAGTTATCACAGTAATAAATAAACTCAGTCAAAGACAAAAGGACTAATTTTTTCTGACTATAGCAATAGAAAACTTCATATTCTCTATCCTCCATTTGGACTGAAAAGATTTTGCAATTTCAGAAAGTTGTTATCTTTTCACCACCTACAACGTTTCCGGCATTAGTGATAGCAACTCAAAGAACGAACAAACGGCATTGAGCATGCCAATTGGCGCCACCGCAGTTCCTAGTTTTTGGTCTATGCCTTTGATCTCCAAATCGAACATCAAGAAAATTTTCGAAGAGTCTTCGCTCGTTGTGTTGCTGACAAAGAAAGCGGTTGTAGTCGAAATAGACTTTCCGGATGTACTCTGCGCCGTTCATTAAGAAGTGAACGCTGCTCTCAAATCTGTCTTCTGCATCTGCTGTGCGCCTCTAGAGGCAGTATGCACGGAGGTGGTGCAGGGAACCAAAGCCCTTGCCGCCTATATCCAAGGGGGAAAGTGGAAGGCAGAGAAGGCTTCGCCCATCGCTCCGCCCACGGGATGGTCCCATTTTGTGTTGAGCAAGAATAGTAGAACTACCAGATATTGATTAAATTTGATGGATCAAGAGTTTAAACTATGAATTGGAACTTGGGAAATGGACAGTAAAAATTCTCTACTAGGTTTCCAGGTACCAGGATGATAATAAAAGTAGTATCATGTCATGAACCTAATAAATAAACGTAACGGTCATCTTTATAACAGTCATATGAAACACCGCTATCAATTAATTTTTGGTGAATTTTGTTCAAAATCGAAGCGATGATGATACAAAACTTAGAAGGTGGGTTACCAAAAATTGATTCAAAGCAGGAGAACTTGAGCCAAAAATGAAGTTTTAAAGTGATTTCAACAATAGCTTTAACACTGAGACAAACAACTACATCCTGGATACTCAGGTCCAAAAAGGACGTAAAATGCAAATGTAAACGTCGTTATGCCTGAGAGGAGGCTTAGTAAAGCTTCACAGCTCAGATTTGAAGTGCGAACCAAATCTGGAGAACCTTTACCCCGCTGGTAGTTGTCGAGGCACAGGATTAGAGAAGGGGAAAATATCTAATATAAATAGGGGAGAATCAATGAAAACCACTATAATTGTTATAATAGACAAGTTTCAGTGATTTCCCTGCTTTTTGCAGCTTTTTGGCCGAGTCTGATTTTGCAACTCGAACATTTTTGATGAATAATTTGGCATCTACTTTAGCATATTCACCTTTTTGAAACACGACTCACGAATTTTTCTCACCCTTACCCTCTCTCCCCTCCTACCTCCCCTATCCCCGAGTATCGTACATTCGATACATAGAGCCACGTACTCTGGTAACCTTCACTTTGAGGACTATGGGGACACAACCTTCACCAAGAAAAAAAAACAGAAGTCATCCGGGCTTCGCCCTGGATGTTATTATCCTGACTATATCGGGACGTATGTTAATGAAGCAAATATAGCGAATAATATCTCTAGCTTGTTTCAGCGAAACCGAGAATTTGCGTTCTTTTTTGCATTAAAAAGAAGGTTTCTGTGGAGTTCTCGCCAGAATTCAGGACAAAAATTCTCGGTTAACCTTCATTTGACCAAAATAGAGTTTTAGAAGTTTACGAAAGCTATTGGGTTTGAATAAAAACGAGAAACTGCGCTTTATTCTTGCGCAGAGAATCGCGCACGAATACGCTGGTCTATCTCGTTAATGAGTGATTTTCAAAGCTTGGGACATTGTCAGTTCTCCTCGTCGTGTCATGCTGATCAGAATGATATATTAGGTTGAACCGAAAGTTCTGTCGTTTCATTTTCAAAAACTTGTAACTCCGCGAAATTTCAACGGATTTGCTTGCCTGTAATTTTATTAAAAAGAATAATTCTTTCGCTTTCAAACACTGCTTTGCGAAGCTTGTGTTTCACAATGAATGCGGAGATAAAAATGGAAAACTAAACCATATAAGATTTGACTATTTTAAGTTAGGTCACCAAAAATCAGCAATGCTGCAGAAAAATCTGAAATCGTCAGTACATATGTCCTTTGACCTACTCTTTGCGACTGTAAAGAGATTATGCTGTTCAAACTTTTCTGTGAGAAGTTATGAATATCGAATTTACTATGGAAACGTCAAAATGAATTAATTTGTTAATTTTCGCGAAAATCATAACTTCTCACAGAAAAGTTTGAACAGCATAATCTCTTTACAGTCGCAAAGAGTAGGTCAAAGAACATATGTACTGACGATTTCAGATTTTTCTGCAGCATTGCAGATTATTTGGTGATCTAACTTAAAATGGTCAAATCTTATATGGTCTTAGTTTTCTATTCTTATCTCCGCACCTAATGTGAAACAGAAGCTCCGCAAAACAGTGTTTAAAAGCGAAAGAATTATTCTTTTTAATAAAATTTCAGGCAACCAAATCCGTTGAAACAGCGCAAAGTTATAAATTTTTGAAAATGAAACGACACAACTTTTGGTTCAACCTAATATAATGTTGCAGGGTTTCGTTAAGAACCCGCGTAGATCTACTACCAGAGCCAAATGCCCCGTCGGCTCTGGTCTGTCTCCGCTGCTCGTCTGCGTTTCCGCGCGCTGCGCGCTACCTCGCTACCCCAAACGCGGGGCGCGGGGCATTTGGTTCTGGTACCCTTTTCTTCGTTGTTTCGAACCCAATTTTAGCAAGCTTTATATCATTTTGAAGCTCTTGATCTCTAGTTTCACGCTGACAATGTCCCAGAACTACATTTTTTGATTTGATCGAGAAATCCAGCAAAAACCTTGTTTTCGAAAACCTCTTGTTTTTCTCCAAGTTTGACTTTTTTCGCGCGGTTTTTTCGTGCATTCTATAAATCTTGCTTCTGTTCATAATGCAGACAACCACCCAGCCCTTACATCTTCGATTATGGTGGAATTTTTTGCGGTTACCTTGTTCTGTTTCAGTGCTTTCGCATCGATTTTTTTCCAGCTTGGGCGATTGTTGCTCAGAACAATAAGCGCAACAATCCAGACAACGTTCCAGGAAACAGGAACGTCAATGCGGGGGTAAAAATTTAAAGGACGCATCAAAAATCAAAACACCGTGCTGCGAGTTGCTGGCCCTGGGGCGAAAACTTTCACTCTGAAAAGCCGCCAAATGAAAGAATTCAAACCTTATTACAGCGTTTTTATCCGGTTTACAGCGGTTTCTTCTTTTATATCTGTTTTACGTCATTTTCTCTTCTCTGATCTTCTTCAAACAACCTTACTATTTATGACGTCAGATGTTCAAACAACCTTCACTTTTGGCGCTCTGTCTCTAGACTATCGAAGGTATGTTCACGACTTTCTTGGCTCATCAAACGACCGGCTTGATCCTGCAAAGCTCAACTAATCGGCTATCGATTAGCACAAATTCAACTAACACAGTGACTATCGTAAAAGATTGAGAAAATTATCTCAGGAAAATAAAATACAACGTAGGTAAGTGTTCCGCGAAGTCATTAAGAAATGGAGCAAAAAGTAGAATGTTTGCGAAAGAGGAGTTCATGAAATATTTAAAATCGAGCCGAAGCTCTTAAAGGCAGCGTCCGGGCAAAATTTCGCCTCTCATGTTTCTGCCATTCTGGGGCCTTTCCGTGGCCCTGATTACAGTTGTAAAATCCGAATTGTTCAAAACTCCCAAAAAACCCGGTTCTTGGGGACCCTCTCTTCAAGGAGCGGACGAGTTTCGAATTGCTCGTCCTCATCGTCATGCCAGCGGGAGGAGCTGCAACTGCACGGATGCAGTTGCATTGCAGTGTGCAGTGCAACTGCAATGCAACTGCAATGCAACCGTACACCTGCGTAAGCACTCGTCCTCAGGGATGGTTTGTGATACGAAGAGGCGGCTTGTGATACATATCACAGGCCCGTATCTCCTTTTAGAGGGCACGTCAAAGGATCGGGCCAACGCAGATCGGATACTTATGGGCCCCTCTTTACAACTATGTGCTAATGTGGATGGATCTTGCCCGGACGCTGCCTTTAACTCTCTATAAGTTGTTTATCAATCCCAATCTTCAAAACCATGATAGAATTGCATTTATATGAGTTTATACAAAAGTCCATTTAAAAGATTCGTTTTTTAAAACTGATCACAAACTTGTTTTTCCCTTCCTTGTATCTTCACCCCAGGTCTTTCGAATTAGCCGTATCCTTCAAGGCAATTCAGAGCAAAAATAGGCAAAATCGAGGCTAAGTGCAGGGGGTGGAGCTTGGAAGGTTGCCAGATCCTTCTTGGCACGCAACCAGCTAGTTCAAAAGCTTTTAAAAATACGTCTGAAGGAGGTGTGCGCTCATTATCGCACATGAATAGCCTATATCGCGTCGGGACCCCACGTCCTCAGCCGCTGCATTGATGTTTAGGCTGGGTCCATACTGATCTGAATGTTTCGGAACAGTTCCAGCACAGTTCTCGCACTGTGCTGGAACTGTGGCGACAAGGGGAAGCGAAAAGAACGGATATGCAATGATATGGGAAAAGAAAAGTGGGCTGAGAATGCCCAAAAATGAAGCTCATTAGAAAACTAGAGAAAAATCCTTAATTTTCGTTTTTTAAAGATTTTTGCCATACCCTAGCTGAGATAGATGCCTGTAAATACTACGCGGCGGCTTTCTGGAGTATTTCGTATACATCGAAGCAGGGATGCACTTATTCTACAACCCGCTTCAAGTTAGCATTTCTCATTACAGGAAGAAGCGGGGTAAAGGAATGAGACGAAAAGAGTTCGAGCGGGAAAGACAAGAAAGCCATTGAGACCAGCCGCTCCAAACCGCCTGCGGGCGGCTGCAGCGCGTGCGGTTTGAAGCGAGAACTGTGCTGGAATTGTTCCGGAACATCCGAATCAGTATGAACCCAGACTTAAAGAAAGGCGCGAATAATTGGTACAAGGCCTCTCGCTTTGTGGCGAGTTGCAGTGCCCTATTCAATGTTCT